AATTTCAGAACTTACTACAAAGCTATAGTAATCAAGACAGTGTGGTTGTGACATGAAGATAGACATATAAATTAATAGAATAGAACTGAGAGTCCGGAAATAAACCTATACATTTATGGCTGATTGATATTTTCTGAGAATGCCAAAACAATTCATTAAGAAAAGAATAATCTTTAGAACAAATGGTTCTGAGATTACTGGTTATCCATATGCAAAAGAATGAAGTTGGAGCCCTGTATCACACTGCATTCAAAAATTAAAACCAAAAAATATAAAGTTATTGGAAGAAAACATAGCTATAAATCTTCATGACCTTTGATCAGGCAACATTTTCTGAGATATGATACCACAAACACAAGAAATTGAAGAAAATAGGCTTATTGGACCTCACAAAATTAAAAATGTTCATGCTTCAAAGGACACTACCAATAAAGTGCCACAACAACCCAAAGAATGGGAGAAAATACACCACAGCTAGTATTCAGAGTTATATAACAAATTCTTGTAACTTGAAAATATAAAGATAAAAAAACAAATTTACAAATGGACAAAATAATTTAATAAATATTTCATTGAAGAATATATATATGTGTGTATATACATGTATACACAAAGGGTCAATAAACACATGATAAGACATCCTTAGTCATTTAGGAAATGCAAGTCAAACTACAGTGAATGCAAGTTAACACCCACTAGGTTATTTGTAACCAAAAAGACACATAAGGGTTGGTAAGGATGTTCAGAAATTGGAACTCTCATTCATTGCTGTTGACAATGTAAAATGATACACCTGCTTTGGAAAACAGTTTGGCAGTTCCTTAGATAGTTAAACATAGAGTTGTCCTATCACTCAGCAGTTCCACTGCTTGTATATATATGCCCAAATGAATTGAAAACATGGCCACAGAAAATCTTGTACATGAATGTTCACAGCAGCATTATTCATAATTGCTGAGGAAATGGAAATAACCCAAATGTCCATCAATGTGAATTTATAAAGAAAATGTTGTATATCAGATATTATTCAGCCATAAAGGAACGAAGTACTGATACATGCTACAACATGAATTAATCTTGAAAACATGTTAAGTGTAACAAGACCGGCACAAATGGTCACATATTATATGACTAGAATTATATGAAACCTCTAGAGTATACAAATCCACAGAGACAAAAATTAAATTTTGGCTTCTTGAGGGGAGTATTAGGAGAAGGGGGGGGATGACTACTAATAGGTATAGGGTTTTTCTTAGGTGATGGAAATATTCTGGAATTAGACAGCAGTGATGGTTGCACAGTTTTGTAAATACACTAAAAACCTTGAATTGTTCACTTTAAAGGATGAATTTTATATGTGAATTATATTTCATAGTTTTTATTTTAAAAATTGAATTGGAGGAGGAATTGACCAACAGAACTTTATCTGTTCTTAGAGAATTCACTGACATTTTCTGGCCCTAATGCTTTCTTCAAAGAATTGCTACTTTAAATAGATTCACTAGCTGGAGGAACGGTGTGTCTTACCTATGTTTTGTGTGAAAATTTCTATCTCATGTGATTTGGTATGAGTTTGGGCTAGGGCTATAGACCTACTTGAGTTTTATTCACAAGTTTTCCTGGTTATTTACAGGCCTCCTGAGTGTAATTCCTCTCATGATCATCTGGGCTCTATTTGACTATATGGAAGAAATCAAATAGGTTTATATATTGTGTGACCTTGGACAAGATAGTTCACTTTTTTGAACCTTAAGTTCCTTTACAATATCTACTTCTCAGGGTTGTGAAGACTAAATGAAATAATGGATTATAAGTACCTACTTCACTGCCTGACCTGATGTGGGCCTCAGTTAACGTTAGTTTCGTCTCTACTTCTTTTTTTTTTTTTTTTGTAAATATTTTTTATTTATTTATTTGACAGAGAGATAGAGAAAGAGCCCAAGTAGGCAGAGCAGCAGGGAGAGGGAGAAGCAGGCTCTCAACTGAGCAGGGAGCCTGATGTGGGACTCGATCCCAGGACCCTGGGATCATGACCTGAGCTGAAGCCAGTCGCTTAACCAACTGAGCCACCCAAGTGCCCTCCTCTCTACTTCTTTATCTTTGGTAAAAAACACTTTCCTTCCAGGTCAGAGGTCACTGAGCTCTGTCCTGGCTTCCTGCCCAGGAACAGATTGCCTCTAGAAATAAATCATTTGTGAGGTGTTTTTTTTTTTTCTTTTTGCCTGTGTGTCTTTTGCTGTGCCTCTTCTAGTAAATGGCACTCTGTAGGTGCTCAGTGAATTTGGATTTAGTATGACACAACACAGGCCTTTTACATGAATTTCCCAGCATGGTGTTGAGAGGATTGCAAAGTGTTAGCATTAGTGTGTGACAAATGAGCATTGTTAATGCTCCTTTGGAGCTGTGTGACTTCCAGTTGTGCTGAGGCAGAGAACTTAATTAAATTTCATACTTAAGGAGAGTGACGGCTGAGTCCTCCATCCTCCATAAAGCTTTTTGTCTCTTGCTTTGTGGCTACACTTTCCAGGATTGTTTCCTCATTTGTAACATCATCTTTTAATAGGGCAGTTGTAAAATGCTTAAATAGTATCAAAGAACTCATCATTTATAAAGGCAGTCCAAGGTTCCTATTGCCTTGGAAAAGTTTTACTTAGTATTAGTCTGTCTAAATGCATTGTATATGACTTTTATTTTTTAAATTTTATTTTATTATGTTATATTAGTCACCATACAATACATCATTAGTTTCTAATGTAGAGATCCACACTTCATTGTTTTCATATAACACCCAGTGATCCATGCAGTATATGCCCTTCTTAATACCCATCACCAGGCTAACACATCCCCCCACCTCCTTCCCCTCTAAAACCCTAAGTTTGTTTCTCAGAGTCCAGAGTCTCATGGTTCGTCTCCCCCTCCAGTCCTCCCCCCTTCATTTTTCCCTTCCTTCTCCTAATGTCATCCATGCTATTCCTTAGTTCCACAAATAAGTGAAACCTTTCTCTGCTTGACTTATTTCACTTAGCATAATCTCCTCCAGTCTCATCCATGTTGATATAAAAGTTGGGTATTCAGGGGATTTGGAAAAGATGGCGGAGGAGTAGGGGACCCTATTCCACTGGTCCCCGGAATTGAGCTGGATATCTACCAGACCACTCTGAGCACCCACGAAATCAGACTGAGATGTAAGAAGATAGATCTGGATCTCTACAAACAGAAGATCGCAGGTGGTTGGTTTTGAGGTTCGAAGCGGGGAGCCATGATTTCACAGACAGATATCAGAGTATAAACAGCAGCTGGAAGGACCCTGGCCATGGGGATCCTACACCGCCGGTGAGCGATAACCTCTCACGCTGGGAACATGGCACAGACTCGCAAACCAGTATGGGCGGGGAAAGGACTTTAGGTCAGCCCTCTGGATGGAAACCAAAGCGGTGCGGTCGCACGTGCAAACTGGGAGTGGCTGGCGGTTTTAGAAGCACAAAGGGCAGAGACATGCCCTGACCTGGAGGCAGGACTGGGAGTGCTGTGGAGAGGCACACAACCTAGGACGCTGCAGTTTATAGCAGCACAGACAGAAATGGAGAAACTGTGGCTTGGAGAGCTCACTAAAAAAGAGACTGCGATCTCTGCTCTGAGGCAGAGGGTTGGAAATGGTCTCTTCTGCTCTGACTCTCCGAAGAGACGTGGAAAGTCGCTAGAGAAAGGCGCCAGAGAACAAAAGCCCCAAAACCGGTTCCCACTGAGCGCGTGCCCCGCCACAGGGGGGCAGGGCAACTCTGCCCAAACAGGGTTGCCTGAGTAACAGTGTGGCAGGCCCCTCTCCCAGAAGACAGGCAGGGAAAACAAGAGGCTAGCAACCCTAAGGTCCCTAGGAAACAGGTGCATCTTGCTTGGGTTGTGCTCAATAATTTGGACTCTATACATTCCCTCAACCACCCCTCAACAGAATGAGTAGGAGGAGGAACCCCCAAAATAGGAAAGACTCAGAGACTATGACTTATGCCACAGATTTACAAATGGATTTAGATATAACCAAGATGTCGGAGATGGAATTCAGGCTAGCAATTGTGAAGACGATAGCTAGAATGGAGAAATCGATTAATGGCAACATAGAGTCTCTAAGGGCAGAAATGAAAGCTGAATTGGCAGAACTTAAAAATGCAATCAGTGAGATCCGATCCAATCTAGATAATCTAACAGCTAGGGTAAGTGAGGCAGAAGAACGAATTAGTGATCTAGAATACCAATTAATAGACAAGAAAGAAAAGAGGAGGCAAGGTGCTCCGTCCTCAGCATGGGAGGCTGTTGCTCACCGGTGGTGTAGGATCCCCACGGCTCGACTCCCTTCCCCTTCTGTTTATCCTTTGATATTTGCCTGCGGAATCACGGTTTCCCGCTTCCTACCTCCAAACCAGATGCCAGCGATGTTTTTTTTGTAGAGATCCAGATCTGTCTTCTTACATCTCAGGCTGATTTCATGGGTGTTCAGAGTGGTCTGGTAGATATCCAGCTCAATTCTGGGGACTGGTTGGAATAGGGTCCCCTACTCCTCCACCATCTTTTCCCTCAATCTGTATATGACTTTTAAAGGCATATATTGAATTCACCACTGTGTTCCTTCTTTCTCCTTTGAAAAAAATGAGTAAGTAGTTAATGCATGTGAAAAAAATAAAGAAAATACTGGGAAGAAGAAAAAGTAACAAGTGTACAGGCCCATTTTAAGTGTCATTTTCTGAGCAGCATCTCCCAGAGCCTTCAGGTATACTAATAGGAATTGCCGTTTGTGTAGGTGGAATGATTCAGGGTTATATTTGAGGAAATTGAAACTGCTGAGACCAATGCTAAAGCAAATTCTTTCTGTGTTCTTCCCAGAGGCTAGAGAGATTGGTAACCTGATAGATGAATCTTGACACTGCATCCTTCATTCTTAATTCTGAGCAGAGTGAATTAAAAATTTATATAGATATCTTAATGTATGCTTTCTCTCCCCGATGTAGGAGCGGAAAAAAAAATTTGAAAAGGATGGTGAGAGGTTTTATTCCTTGCTGGATCGGCACTTACATCTATCTTCCAAAAAGAAAGAATCTCAGTTACAAGAGGTATGTTCAAAAAGCCTGTTCCCATCTTCCTTTGCCGGCTGTGTCTTGGTAACATTGCCATCTTCCTATTCCAAGGCTCTTTTCATGCCCTGCCTCAGCAGGGATCCACTATAATAGTAGTACTTACAGTTAAAATCTTTGCCTGGAACTCAGGAGCCTTGAGTTCTCAAAGCAGGTCCTCCACTAACTCACCGTGTGACATTTTTGTTGTTGTTGTTTTTTTTTTTGGACATTAGAATAAATAATTTAATACATAAATCGTCTTTATGTAAGCAATAAAATGCAAGTTTGAGAAAATAAAATTTCACCATACAAGACTATTAAAATATTATTGACTATATTCCTGATGCTGTGCCTTTTATTCCTGTGACTTATTCATCCCATAACTAGAAGTCTGTATCTCTCACTCTCTTTCACATATTTTGTCCACCCCCATCAGTTTTTTCTCTGTATTTATAGTCTCATTCCACTTTTTTTGTTTGTTTATTCATTTGTTTTGCTTCTTAGATTCTACATATTAGTAAAATTATATGGTATTAATCTTTCTCAGTTTGACTTACTTCACCTAGCATAATACCTTCTAGGGCCATCCATATTATCACAAACGGTAAGAGCTCATCATTTTTCATGCCTGTCTAATATTCCAATATCTACATCTTCCTTATCCATTCATCTATCAATGAATATTTAAGTTGCTTCCATATCTTAGCTGTTGTAAATGCTGCAATAAAGATAGGAGTGCATATATCTTTTTGAATTAGTGTTTTCATTTTCTTTGTATAAATACCCAGTAGTAGAATTACTGGGTCATATCGTAATTCTAATTTGAAGTTTTTGAGGAACCTCCATACTGTTTTCCATAGTAGCTGCCCAAGTTTACATTCCCACCAACCGTACATGAGGGTTCCTTTTTCTTCACATCCTCAACACTTGTTATTTCTTATCTTTCATGGTGTGACTTTGGAGAACATATTTTTTTCTTGGCCTCATTTTCCCTTTCTGCCAAAGGAAGAGTGGTACTTAGTGATCTCCAGAGTCCCTTTCAGTTCTGTATTTCTGATTCCAGAATCCACATGAGGTTAAAGTTGAACTAGTGTTGTATTTGGTAGATCAGGAGCAGATCTTCTACATTTTTCCCAAGATATTCCAACATTACCTTTTTTTTAATGGACTTTCAGTGACTTCAGTTCAAATAAGCCACTATTCCATGAGTGCATACCACATGCCAGGCACTATGCTGGGTGCAACAGGACTACAGAGTCAATGAGACATCCTTCCTGTCCTTTGGCAGCTTATAATTGGAATGCTAAAATAAGAATACACATGACACTTAAATAAGAATTTTTACATACTGTAACATGAATGTGTATGTGGTGTCCTTGTAGGGGTGGGAAGGTGTCTGGAGAATAAAAACCTTACATCTGGATGTGGAGATTTGCCCTGGCACCATAGTGGTGCCCATTCAACAAAGGTAACGTCTTTGACAGAAATGGAGAAATGGACCTCTCACGTGGACGGAAATGGTCCCAAGAATAGAAAACATGGAGTACGTTTGGGGACATTTGACCAGAATTTTCATTGCTATTGGGGAGTAGTGAAAGACAAGATAGGATTAGGCAAGTTGAGGTCATATTATAGAGTAATAGGTTCAGAGTTTGTATTGAATTCTCTTGGGCCTGGGAGGATCATTGAGCACTTTTGGTAGTACTAGCTATATGAGTGGAATTCTGTTTGAAGAATCTCTAACTGTCTGAGGTTGTAAGATGAATTAGACCTGAGACAGAGTGGAAGCAAGAAAACCAGTTTAGGGAACTATTGCAATGAACTAGGGGAGAGCGTCTAATCACAAGAGTGGCACTGGAGAAGGAAGGGAAGGAATTAACTGATTTTAAACTGTTTTCAATGGCAGGGCACCTGGGTGGCCCCGTCAGTTAAGCGTCAGACTCTTGATTTCAGCTCAGATCATGATCTTAGGGTCATGGGATTGAGCTCTGCACTGGGCAAGGAGCATCCTTCAGATTCTCTCTCTTCCTCTCCCTCTGCCCATCCCCCCAGTCACATGGGTTCTCTCTCTCTTTCTAAAATAAATAAAACCTTTAAAAAATACAATTTTTTAATGGATAGATCCTTGTGTTGGATAATAGATCCAGTAAAAGATGGAGATATTTTAGATTCAAGTATAAAATGAGACACTCAAATGAATAAGATCTTTGACATGAGCTAGGAAAGTTCTTAGAAATCATCTTCTCCAAGGTTACACAGATTGTTACAAAGCTGAAGCTTATCTCCTGATATGTGTTTTGGTGAATATCCATTACCTCATGTGAGGTGTTTCAAATTGATGAGTCAGGAACCTCAGTGGTGAATAGACTTAGTATTGAAAAGGTGAAGGACTACTTTTCTTCCATAAACTGGAATAGTCTGGGGTCTTCTGTCATTTTCCTTCTGCATTCTTTTGTTTCCTTCCTTTTGCATCTATTCTGGGTCAGGTTCCTAAGCAGAAAAGAGTTAACATAATAGGCCGAGTCTACTATGAATAGAAAAATCTGACTATAAGATTAGCTCTTGGCTTGTATCTGGGAACTTGGCTAGTGAACAGTTCCTTACACAGATATAAAATTTTCCCTAAATGGTAAGAGTGACTCTCTGTGCCTAGATTGCCTGTACAAACAATGTGGTTTATGTTGAACATCTTATTTTCTGCTGGGAGTCTGGAATTTTGGTATATGCTTAGTAGTGGGTGCCTCTGTACAGCCCCCAATAAAAACCTAGGGCACTGAGTCTCAAGAGCTTCCATGGTAGACAAAATTTCACATGTGTTGTTATAACTTCTTGCTGGAGGAATTAGTTGTGTCCTGTGTGACTCTTCTAAGGGAGAACTCTTGTAAGCTTTCACTTAGTTTTCTCTAGACTTCATCCCATGTATTTTTCCCTTTGCAGATTTTGCTTTATATTCTTTCACTAAAGTAAATACTAGCCATGAGTATGACTATATGCTGAGTCCTTTAAGTCCCTCTATAGAATTACCAAACCTGGGGATTTGTAACCCTGGACGTAGTCCAAACTTTATTCTTTTGGAGGATTTTACAATGAAAGCTTCTGGAATGTCCTAGAAGTTTGGTGTTTTATGTAGATGTTCCCAGTGACTTTCCTAAAGAGCAAGGATGCAGCCTTTGTACTTCTTTAATTAAAAATAATCTGGGGGACCCTGGGTCACTTTTTTATATTAAGAGACTTTCTTTTTAGAGCAGTTTCAGGTTTAAAGAAAAATTGAATATGTGTAGAGTTCCCATATATCCCTAATTTGCCAGCATACAGTTTCCTCTACTATTAACATTTGCATTAGTGAGATACACTGATATGATTGGTGAGCCAATGCATTGTGCATTCTGTGGGTTTTGACAAATGTATAATGACATGAATCCATCATTACACTATCATGCAGAATAGTGTCACTGCCAGAAAAGTCTGTGGGCACCACCTGTTCATCTCTCCATCATCCTTTCACACCCTGTAAACCCCTAGCAACTATTGATCTTTTTATGGTCTCCATATTTTTGCCTATTCCAGAATGTTTTATTGTTGATATTATACAGCATGTAGCACTTTAAGATTGGCTTCTTTCATTTAGCAGTATGCATTTAAGGTTCTTTTGTGGCTTTTCATGATGGGATAGCTCACTTATTTTTAGTGCTGAATAAGATTCCACTGTGTGGATTTACCACAGCTTTTTTATCTTTTCACCTATTGAAGGATATCTTGGCTTCCTCCCTACCTTGTCAATTATTTTTTTAAGATTTTTTTTTATTTGAGAGAGAGAGAGCACACATGAGAGAGCATGAATGTGGGAAGGGCAAAGGGAGAGGGAGAAGCAGACTCCCCGTTGAGCAGGGAGCCTGACTCAGGGCTTGATTCCTGGACCCTGGGATCAGGTCCTGAGCTGAAGGCAGACGCTTAAGTGACTGAGTCACCCAGGTGTCCCCCAACTTTGTCAATTATTAATGATGCTGCTATAAACATTTGAGAGCAGGTTTTGTGTACGTAACTTTTCAAATAATTTGGGCAATTACCAAAAAGCACAATGGGTAGATTACATGGTAAGAGTAAATTTAGTTTTGTAAGAAACTATCAAATTGTCTTTCAAAGTGACTGTACCATTTTTTTTAATTTGTATCATCAATGAATGAGAGCTCTTGTTGTTCTTGTTGCTCTCTTTGCCAGCATTTGGTGCTGTCTGTGTTTTGGATATTAGCCATTCTAATAGGTCTGCACTGTGATTGCATTTCTATTATTAATTTTAATTTCCTGGGCAACCTTCTCAGGTACCCTCCCTCTTCACGTGCTTTGTACTATTGCTCAGTACTCTTGCTCAATAAACTTTGCTTTACTGCCCACCAAAAAAAAAAAAAAATCATTTCCCTAATGATATATGATGTTGAACATCTTTTCATATTCTTTTTTGCCATGTATAGATCTCTTGGTGAGGTGTCTGTTCAAATATTTTGCCCTTTTCCATTGGATTGTTTTCCTATTATTGCATTTTAAGAGCTGTTTGTCTATTTTATTTTTCTTTCTTTTTTTTTTTATTTTTATTTTTTAAGATGTATTTGAAAGACAGAGAGCACAAGCATGGGGGTGGAGTGGAGGGGCAGAGAGGCAAAAGGAGAAGGAAAAGCAGACTCCCCGCTGAGCGGGAAGACCGATGTGGGACTTGATCCCAGGCAGGACCCCAGGATCATGATCTGAGCCGAAGGCAGAGGCTTAACCAACTGAGCCATCCAGGTGCCTCAGTATTTTTTTATTTTTTTAAAAGAATATCCTACTCCTTCTCTTTTTCCACCCCCCACCCCGGGTAAAAGATATTTATTTCAACTTTCTAAGAGTAAAAATAAAATTTTAACTTGAATTTTTGTTTTAAGTTTTTATTTAAATTCTAGTTAGTTAACATATATTGTAATATTGGTTTCAGGAGCAGAATTTAGTGATTCTTCGCTTACATATAACACCCAGTGTTCATCACTAGGGCCCTCCTTAATACCCATCACCCA